TGGGATCATGGAGCTGGAAGGGATCTTCATTTAACAGGTAAGGAAACTGAGGCCCAGTGTGATGGTGAATGAGTGACATTGCCTCTCTGGGCCTCAGTTTCCTTACCTGTTAAATGAAGGTACCTCCCAGCTCCGTGATCCCATTATTGAATGGGTGCTGCCTCAGTCGTATTGAGACCTGTTAAAGACCTTAGCTTGAAAAGGCCTGGGGCTCCCACTGCATCCTGGGCCACCTCCAGTTGTCCTGATCTATATCTGGCCACTAGAGCCAGGTGGTTCCAGAGAGAGAGTGAGGTTGGTGACTTTGCACAGTCCTCCCTCACTTAAATCCAACTCACTTGCAAGTCATGGCATCACCTTCCTGACATCGAGGTCCTCTTTAAGAAGGAAGGCCAAACAACCTCTGTGAGTAGTAGTAAGAGCTGCCCCACTGGGGACCCAAGTGGAACTGGCCAGTTGGACAACACAGCTTCCTTCCTTCCTTTTCTTGCCTTCTTTCTTGCTCTCCTTCTTTCTTTCTCTCTCTCCCTTTTTGATTGCTGAAACCTTGAAAGCTATCTTGGGATTTATAGGTTAGATTTCTTTCTTAAGGATCATGCCTTAAACTCAGATCATTCTGGTTCTCTTTGGTTGGCCAACAACAGATCCCAGCCCAAGCCCCACCTGGTCATTGTTTGGTCCCTGACTGGCTCAGAGTGAACATAAATAGCAATTGTTTCTATTTTTGGCCAACCCTGAGGGTCTTCCCTTCTCAGATTGATTTTTTTTTTTGACTAGGTAAAAGAGGCCATTCTCTGCCTCATTTCTTACCTAGCCTTAATCATTGGATGGGCATTGTCTCAGTCAAACTGAGACCTGTTAAAGACCTTAGCCTAAAAAGGCCAAGATCTCCCACGGCATCCAGGGCCATCTCTGGTCATCCTGATCTATATCGTGCCACTGGACCCAGTTGGCTCCTGAAAAGAAAGTGAGGCTGGTGACTTTGCACAGCCCTCCCTCACTTAAATCCAGCTCACTTGCATGTCATAGCATCACTTCCCCATTGTCACAGTCCTCGAACAAAGGACACTCAGCAGTAGCACAAAGACAGGTAAATACAACCTCTTTGCTAAAGAAGCACAAAGTCTCCCCTCAGCCCCACCCCAGGACGCTGCAGGGGCCTGAGTCTTCCGAGTTAGTGACTGTGGCTGGTTATCTCATATGACCTGAGTTCAGGAGGCCAAGTCGGGGGTCAAGGCCCAGCCGGGAAGCTTTCTAGCAGCGAGACATTGGCTCCTTGGACTGGTGGGCCTGGTTTCCTCATCTGAATCAGCTAGTCTCCAAGTAGGAAGGGATCCCCGGGGGGCTTTGAGGCCAGCAGGCAGCCGAGCAATGTCTGGACCAGGGGTGAAGAAACTTTGGCCTTGAGGCCACACGTGGCCCTCTAGGTCTGTGACCTCATTCCTCACCCGTGGACAGTGGATTGGACAGGTCTCAAGGTGGCCCAAGGCCATTTGGGGAGGAGAAGCTTTCTTCAACATTCCCTGGAAGGGATTTTGCAGCTTCTGTTGTAAAGGCTGTAGCAATGGGGAGCTCACTACCTTACAAGCCAACCTCAGTGACTTCAGGTTAGCTCTGATTTTTGACTGAGCCCTGGATCTGAGCTGAACTCACCCAGCTCTTGAGCCTTGGGGTGACACAGTGGGAGCTGTGGAGAAGAAGCCAGGTCACTGGGGCATTGAGAGCCTTAGATTTGAAGTCAGCAAAGCAGGATTCACACCCAGACCCTGTCCCTTCATTTGTGATATAATCTTAGGCGAGCCCACATCACTTTGGGGGCTTCACTTTTCTCACCTGTTTAAGTGGTGACAACCACTACCGTGGCACTTTTCCACCTCTGAAGGTTGGTGTCAGAGATACTATGGCCCGCGGTCTTGGGAATCAGAAAGACGAGGCAAGTCAAATCTTGCCTTAGGTACTTTGTTATCTATGTGACCCTGGGCAAGCCATCTTTCCTCTCTGAGCCTCAATTTTCTCATCTATAAAATGGGGGTAATAATACATACCTGTGGAACCCCCCCACACACACACACCCTGTGAAATTCAAATAAGATAGCATAAAGAGTTTTGCAAATTTTAAAGGGCTATATAAATGTTACTATTATTATTTGACTAATCCCAGGACTGTTCTAGGGAACCCACTTCTATTAATCCTGGGGGGCTTACCAGGGTACCCTGGCAAAACAAGCTGGGATGAGGGAACAGGGCAAGGGTTAGAGATTTGTAATTACTAAGCATTTAAAATTGATCCTACCCCTTGGTGCTCACAACGACCTTATGAGGGAGGCCAGGTCAGAATTATTATCATCATTCTTCTTTGTTTTCCATATGTGGAAACTGAGGCACAGAAAGGAGCAGGGACTGATCCAGGGTCCCCAAGCTAGTCACAGGTTTGAACCTCAATCTTCCAAGAGACAAAAAGAGCTACTAGTCCCCAGCTCCTTCCCTTATACAGATCTTGGTCAGGAAAGGGTGGGGGTGGGGGTGGGGGTGGGGGTGGGGGTGGGGGTGGGGTGAAGCAACAGCTGCCAGACAGGAAGAGGACCAGACAGGGATGGCTGTTTTAGACTCTTAGCTGGGAAGGAACCTTAGGAATCATCCAGTCCAAAGCCTCCTTTTACAGATGGGCCCTGAGCAGAGAATCTGCTGGCCCCCAAATCACTTACCTAGTGTGTGGTCTTACGGGACCCCCCACTTCCGGTCCAGGGGGCTTTCCTGCCCGCCAGGCTCCAGCGTCTACGGTATGACAGAGCAGTAAGACAGAGTCCCTGCCCTCAAGGATCTTAGCATCATAAACGACATTCACTTAAAAATGTGCAAAGCCCTCCATCACTACCTCAGTTGAGCCTTACATTCTAAACCCCACAAGGTATTGTACAGATGGGGAAACTGAGCACAGAACGGTTATGACTTGATCAGAATCACACAGGGAATAAATTCGAGAGGCAGGGCTGGAAACTAGGCCTGTGACGTAGGAGCTCTTATTGTCCTTACTTTACCTAAGGAGGAAACTGAGGCAAAGAGGTCAACTCTCTCAGCAAGGAAGTATCTAAGGCAAGGTTGGAACTCGGGGCTTCCTAAATCCAAGTCCAACACTAACTACTGAACCACTTAGCTGTCTAGAGCCCACAAGCACCCAGACCCATAGAGTCTCAGACTTTCTCCTTTTACAACCACATCCACAATCTTGGGCAGAAAAACATACACACACACAACTATACACACAGCCACATGGACGACCACAAACAGCAAACAATCATAACTTCCCACACTGTAGGATACAATAGAGTGGGCTTGGGGGAAGAAAGCTGAATTCGAATTCTGACTCATTAACTTTCTGGATGCCTTCTCTTCCTGACGCGGGACCTCTGCTTCCTTATCCAAATGGGATTTATAACAGTACTTGTGAGAGTTGTCAGGGTCACATCAGAGAATGGATGTAAGAAGCTAGAGGAATGTCAGTTTATCATTATCACTATTTTCTAACCTCAGTCACCCACAGCAGAGGAGCGGAGTACCCAGGAGGTGGCCGGACCTCTGCCGATGCAGGATGGGTGTTGGGGCAGACCCGGGGGGGGGGGGGGCCGCCGGGTTCAAGACAGGCAGGATTGTGTAGGTGGGTGCTTGAGGGGGAGGGAGCCCCTACCCTGGGCGGGCCAGGAACAACGAGCAGAGAGAGGGAGGGGGGGAGGGAGGGAGGAGAGGGGAAGCAAACACCTCCCCCCCACCACTGCCCCCACCCTCAGCCTGGGAGCTCTGGGAACCCAGCCTGCCAAAAGAGTTCTCAGAGAACTCCCCTCCCAGGCGCCCCGGGGCAGCTTTAAAGGGGGAAAGAGAGAGGGAAACCGGGGACCCAGGGGGCGGGGGTGGGGCTAGAGGGAGGGGCCTTACACCCACCCCAGGCCTTCAGCTCCCAGCGCTGCAGGCTCTGAGCCCCCAAGACCGCAAAACCTCAGCGCAGGATAGGGGGAGGGGGACGCTGAGAATCAGGGAGCCCCCCTCCCAAAAGGGAGGGAACAGAGAAGCGGTCTCCCTGTGCGTGTGACTGTGAGTCTATGTGACCTTGCGTGTACACGCGTGTGTGTCAGTGTGATTTTTGTGAATAAATCTCTTGTCAATTTCCCTCCGTTCTCCAGAGCAGTTCCTTAACATAGTAGGGGCTTAATAAATGTTGAATTAAATTGCGACCAAGCGAGATTTTTGGGTGTGACTGTGGGTTTGTGAAGGTGGGCAAGAGTCTGCCCTCCGTGGCACTGCGCTGGGCAGTGTGTGTGAAAGGGTGTGAGTATAGCTGCGTGACCCTGGGGTGGGCTGTAGGTGTGTCAGCGAGGGTACCAGCCAAGGCAGGGGAGAAGCCCTGAGTGCCAGGGGACGTGTGTGTGTGTGTGTGTGTGTGTAGGTAGGGGAGAAAAAAGCCAGGTGTGGGACAGGCATTAGGTGTGCAAATCCCACCAATGTGAGAGATCAGAGGTGGGAGGGGGGAGCGTGGGTGCACTAGTGTGATCGGGTGTGAGAGGACCCTGGAGCCGTGGGTTTCAGAATGTGAGTTAGTGTGTGTGTTGAGGGGCGGGAGGAGCTATGGGAGGGAAGGGGAGGAGAGACCCTCTCCCCTCCGCCGCAGCGGTCGCTCTCGCCTGGCGCCATCGCCCTTTTAAGAGCTGAGCCTGGAGAGGGAGGGAGAGGAGGCTGAGCGGAGCTGGGGGAGCGGCGCGCGATTCCTGGAACAGCCGGACCAAAAAAAAAAAAAAAAAAAAACCCAAAGCCGGAGCTGAAGCTGGAGCCGCCGCGACCGTTTCAAGTTCCCCCCGCGTGGAAAATGTACCTGATTTCTGTCCAAAGCTCCGGGATGTAAAACTAAAGGGGGCGGAGGGGGGGGTAGCTATGGAGATGGAGACCTCGGCAGGCTCCTTTCTTTGACAGGTGTGGAGTAGGGGAAAAAGTCTGAAAGAGAAACAAGCAGCATGTACGCCAAGGGAGGAAAGGGCTCCGCCGTCCCCTCCGACAGCCAGGCTCGGGAAAAGTAAGTGCGGCGGCGCCGGCGCTGGAGCCGGGCGGCTGGGGAGTCCCTGGGAGCGCGGGGCGCGCAGGGGCCGCTGCGAATGCGGGGGGGGGGGGGGGGGGCGGGGGGGGGGGGGGGGGCCGGGGAGCCGCCGTGAAGGCGGGGGCTCAGGGGGAGCCGAAGGGAGCGCGGAGCCGACGGAGAGGCGAGACGAGGGGATGGAGGGGAGCGCGGAGCCAGGGCGCGCGGGGCTGCGGGGAACGCGAGGGAGCGCGGGGACAGGGCGCACGGGAGGGAGGGGGACGCGGGGTCCCCGGCCTTGGAGCGCGGGCGCGAGAGCAGAGCCGGGGAGGCCGCGGAGAGTGCTGAGCGCTCCGAGGCGGCCGCTCCCGGCCGGGGACAGCGAGGCTGGAGCAGCCGGGGAGCTGCCGAGTTGGGGGGCCGGGGTCCTCGTTCTGCGCGAGGTCCAAGTTGCCTGCCACCGCGGGGGACGGCGGACACAGGGAGGGCAGCCCCCGGAGGGGGGCAAGTGGCGGGGCCCCATCCCAGTTCCCCGTTCCCCCGTCGGTCTCCAACGTACTAACTCGCCGCCGCCTTTAAAGTTTTCGCTGGGCGCCGCGCGGCGGGGCTGGGCTGGACTGGGCTGGGCAGGGCAGCCCTCGCGTGCCTCGGCTCCGGCCCTGAGACCGCCGTCAGAACCAACCGGAGCTGGGGGCTGCTGGGCTGGGGGGAGGCGTACAGTCGAGCCCCGGGTCCAGGCTGGCGGGGGTCAGGGGGCACCAGGGAAAAGTTTGGGACCAGAGCCGCGGCGAAGTTGGCGGCCCCTGGCCCGGGGCGGATAGTGGAAAGAGGCCAGACTGGAGCCAGTTAGAGCGGGAAGGGTAGGAATTGGGGCGGGGGCCAGGGCTAGGGCTCTCCAGCCTGGGAGCCCCAGGGCCTGGGGCCCAGGCTGCGGCACCGGAGGGCTAGGGGCACGGAGCTGGGGGGGGTGTCTCCGGGCTCCAGGGGAAGGTAGGGGTCCGGCCACCAGGAAGTTCTCCTCTAGATTGCTTTGCTGTCTGTCCACCCACTGAGCTAAGCTGGGACAACCCCTTGGAGGTCCTGGGGACCTGAAGGCAGCCTGCGCCCGGAAGGGTTAGAAGGCCGCCGAGGGGAAGGAGGCGGTGGCCTAGATGGGACCATCCCCATCCCTCCTCCCCGGCAGTAGCAGATCACCGAGCTTGGGCTGGTAATCCCAGCTCCAGGAGCCTAGGACCCCAGGATTCCTACGCCGTCCCCGCCCTCCTGCTGCCCCAAGCACTAGGATCTCCCAGGAAAGTTGCTGGCCAAGTGGTGTCCCCCTGGGCCCCTGGGGGCAGACACGCCCCCTCCACCGGCGGCCCCGCCCCGCGGCCACCTGTCCGTCTGTCCCTTGGCCCCCTCCTGCTTCTGGCGACGGGGAGGAGCTCCAGACTGCTCTGCGGGGCGGGGCAAGGGGCCTCCCTGGGGACTGGCCTGGGCTGGGGTCAGGGCGGGGTCGGGTGCTGGAGGAGCCGGAAACTTGGAGACTTTGGGGGGGTGGGCGGGACTTGGCTGCCCGGGTGGCAGAAGAAGGGACCTGGAGCGGGAGGTGGCCTCCTGCGTTCAAGGCCGCAGCTGCAGAAGCCAGGGCTGCCGGACCCAGGTCGGGGCTCTGGGGCAGTGGGACCCTCCTCCATCGCTAGGGCTTCTGGGTAAGACCCAGGGTCCCCGGCCTTCCCCTCCCCTGCTGGGGCCAAAGATGGAGAAGAGATAGAAGGCTGAGAGCCCATTCTATCAGGCTTTGGTTTCCCAAGAGCCCCCTTCCCCGTACTCCCCCCCTCCACTACCCCATACATACATAGGCTTTCTCCAACCCCACCTCAGTGGCCTCTCTTCTTCCTACTGCCACAGCAGGCGTGGCCTTCTGGCAAAGGCTTGTTATTGTAGGGTAGCTCTTGACCGCCAGGGCTTAGGGTGGCAGGTCGCAGACTCAGAAGGTTAAAGCTGAGAACGCCCTAAGATCCCTTAGAACAGAGAAGGTAGAATAGAACGTCAGAGCTGGGGAAGGAAGGCTCTTAGTCCAGAATGTCACAGCTGGGGAGGGTCCTTAGATTCTATCGGCCTAAGGCTTTTATGTTCCAAAGGCTTAGAACCTAGACTGTGGCAGCCGAGAGGACCCTCACAGCATAGAAGGTAGAATGTCAGAGCTGGGAGGCACCTTAGAAATGTCTTGAGTGCAGCCGCCTCATTTTACATGTTAGAAAATCTGTAACACCTGGGTAGGGTAGCTCGAATCATCATCCCAGAACCAGGTGCATCCCTCTTTGTGTAATAGCCTTTCAGATGCAGTTAGCCTGCCCACTCTGAGTTGTTGCTTTTCCTAGTTAAACCTTAGTTGCTTTCAGTGATCCTTTTGTGTCTCAGGTTCTAGGGCCTTCACCATTCTGCTTGTGTTCCTCTGGATGCTTGAAGCTTTAATCGTGTCCTTAAATGCAGCGCCCCCAGCTGAGCTCACTGCTCCACATGTGGTCTGACTAGGGCATAATGCAGAGGGCCCATCACCTCCTTATTCCCGGAAGCTTTGCAGCCCCAGATTTCATTCACTTTAGGCTACCCTATCACACACTGTTGGCTCCTACCGAGCTTGCAGGCCCCTAAAACCCCCAGATCTTTGCCGCCTAGCCAGGCCTCGCCCATCACCTCCCCTATCGTCAGTTTTTTGAATCTGATATTTCTCCCTATTGGATCTTATTGTGTTCGACTCAGCCCAGGGTCCTCGCTTGTTAAGGCCTTTTTTTTTTTTAATCCTTTTTCTGTCATCCTGTGTATTAGCTAGCCAGCCCTCACAGCCTTATATCACCCGAAAATTTGATGAGTGTGCTAATGCCTAGGCTAGAGGACGGCATGCCACCTATGACTTTATCCAGTTTATAATGTGGAGCATCCTTGGGGTAGGTACTCACTGGAGACTTCAAAGCTGACCTTGAACTATTTATTGAAGGCTATTTTTAAAAATCTGATCTTCAGCCACCTAATTGTCCTATGGTCTAGCCAAGTAAAGGGTTAGTGGCACTCAATGATACTGTCCCCCAAGGCTGCTGGGGAGGAGATGGGCCCCTTCTACCTCTTCCTCCTCCTGTCTCACCTCTTCCCCTCTAGCTCAGTTTGGGGGTGCCTCTTTCCAAAGACTCTACTCCATGAGGCTCCTACTTCACCTCCAAGACTTCCCCAGCTTTTCCAAGCCCCTGGCCGAGCTTCCTTTACACCCCAGCATTAGGTTTCCCCAGGGCTCCCATTTTCTATCACCCCCCGTCGAGTCTAGGAGAACCTAGGCTCATAGAATCTGGCTAGGAAGTGACCCCAGGGGACGTCCAGTCCCAACTCTTGCCAGAACTCTTTAATGTCCTCCCATAAATGGTCATTGAGCTTCTACTTGAAGACTTCTAGTGATGGGAAACTCACTGCCTCTCAGGGCAATCCATTTCACTTTTGGGTAGCTTTAATTGTTAGGAAGCTTGTCTGTAAAGGCACCTGGTGTGATGTGAAAAGCACAGGTTTGAGTTTCTGAGGAGCAGAGTTCAAATCATGCTTCTGCTGTTATTACCCTGGATAAACCACTTAACCTCTGGGGACCTCAGTTCCCCTATCCACAAAATAAGTGGGTTGGACCACATGATCTCCAAGATCCCTTTCAGCCATGAAGGAATGAATGAATGAATGAATGAATAATGTGGTATTCACTGGGGAGACAGAGAAGGTGCCTGCCTTCCAGGAGATCCCATTCTAATGGGGAAGGCAATATGCAAACAACCACATGTATACAAGATATGTACAGAATGAATTGGAGAGAATCTCAGAGGGTAGGTACTAGCATTAAGGGGGATCATGAAAGGCTTCTGCAAAAGGTGGGATTTTAATGGAGATTTGAAGGAAGCCAGGAGTTGGAGACAAGAAGGGAAAGCATTGCAGGGAGGAAGACAGCGGTGAAAAGCCGCTGTATGGAGAGGGAGGGTCTTTTGAGAGGAACAGACTGGAGGCCCCAGGCCCGTGTCACTGGATTGTAGAATACATGGAAAGGTATAAGGTGTAAGAAGACCGGAAAGGTAGGAAGGGGCCCGGTGTTGGAGGGCTTCATGAGCCAAATAGAGGATTTTATATCTGATCTTGGAGGCAATAGGTTGATTGAAAAAAAATGGGGCGGCCAGGGGAAGTTAGGTGGAACAGTGAATAGAGCACTAGCCCTGGAGTCAGGAGGACCTGAGTTCAAATCCAGCTACAGATCAGACACTTGATATTTACTAGCTGTGTGACCCTGGGCAAGTCACTTAACCGCAGTTGCCTCGCCAAAAAAAAAAAAAATGGGGTGGCAACATGGTCAGACCTTCACTTTGGGAAGTACCCTTTAATAGCTGAGTGGAGGATGGATTGGTGAAAAGAAAAGACCATCCCTGCCCTCATGGAGCTTACATTCTAATGGAGGAGACAGGGCAGGTGGGGGAGTCATGTCCAATGAAGGGCACTTTGCTCCAGAAAGTTTCATGGGTGGTGAATGAGGCCATGGGGGAATAGGTTGTCAGAGTCCTTCTTGGGATGATGGCAGAGTTGATTTGATCCTCTAGGCCTTAGCTGAAGCTGAGATCCCCCTCCTTATGACTCCCACCCTTCACACCTAGTTCTCTTGGAGATCCTGCAGAGTCTGTTGAATCTTTGCACCCCTGATGGATGGCCTTTCACATACATGGAGACGGTGACTGTGACCCACCTCTGTGCCCCGTGATGGCCCTTTACATGCATGGAGGCGGTGATCATGACTGGTGAAGTCTTCTTAGGTTACCAGACAGGCATATCCAGGCTCAGAGGGACTTGAGGATTTGCAAACACTGAATGATACTGGGACATACTTAAACTTCTCAGTGGGATATTTCACATTGACCATGGTCTAGTGGAAGTTGGAGCCAGGAGACCTGAGTCTGATGTTAAGGCCAGGCACGTGCCTTCAAATAAAGTCACCGCCCTCTGAGCCAGTAAAATGGACAAAATACTACTTGGCCCATCTACCTTTCAGGAATATCGGGCGGAAAGCATTTATAAACCATAAAGTATCATGTAAATGTGGGTCATTATTATAAAGTCATCTGTATTTTGATTTAATAAAAATCCATTTTTATTCAAGGTTCTACAGTCTGGTGGCATCCCAGGACCTGCTTTCAAGTCCCCATCCCCTTATTTACTCCCTCTAAGCTGGCCATTCTCTTGGCCATCTCATATGTTTCCTCATATGTAAAGGAAGAGGTCAGACTCCAAGGCTTCTTAAACTTTTTCTACTCTTGACCCCTTCCGCACTTCTTAAACTGTGGGTTGACACCCCATGTGGGGTTTAAGAAGCGCTGGACGCCCTGGGGTCAGGAGGACCTGAGTTCAAATCCGGCCTCAGACCAAACACTTGACATTTACTAGCTGTGTGACCCTGAGCAAGTCACTTAACCCCAATTGCCTTAAAAAAAAAAAGGCACTAGACAATCTTCAAGGACCCTTAACTCCACCGTCCTGGCCCACTTCTTGCACCAGCCAGGCGCTCACTTACCTTGGTGTCACTTGGAAACGCCCCTTATCTAGCTGACCCCTTCCAGTGGAGGACCTGGAATCCTAGCGCTAGGCCTGGATGGAACCTCAGGGCCCATCTACCTCTACTCCCTCATTTTACAGATGAGGAAACTGAGGCCCAGGGAGGAGCAATTTTTTTTCTGAAAGATAATGAATTCTACTTTGAACACAATGAGACTGACGCTATTTGAACATCGTAGTGGAGTGAGAGAGAAGTTAGGACCAGCCTAACTTGGCATATATACCTCACAATTCCTAACATGTAGTAGGTACTCAGTGAATATCTCTTGAATGAATGAATGAATAATTCTCTGCCTGGCATTCAAAGCCCTCCACAGCTGGCTCCCACCCTCCCTTTCTAGCTCGACCTCACTTTACTCCCATGTATGCGTTTTGCAGTCAGCTCAAATGTACAAGTCTCTTTTTCTTGAAAAGTGTTCTCCAACATCCATACTTTTGCTCAAGAGGTTTGCTGTGCCTTCTCCTTTCACAACTGTTGAAGTCCTACCCATCAATTTCACCACCATTTATTAAGTACCTACTGTATACAAGATACTTTATACCACCTCTTAGAAGCCTCTCCAGATCTTCACCCTCCCCTCTTGATAACAGCCTTCCCTCTCAGACTTTCATTTATGCTCTCTCTGATGCAATTATCCAGTAATACTGTGTGTTAGTATTGACTGCTCTTCTTTTTAGATTGTAAGGCAGACATCCTGTCTTATCTGAACATTGTCCTCCAAGGTTCAGCCAGATGCCTGCACACAGCAGGCGCTTAATACATGTTAAATGGATGAATGAATGGGATACAGATTGGGGAATCACTTGCATGAAAAAAAGAGCTGGCATGCTGCGAGTGGATGGAATCAATTTCAGAAAGAGAAGGAAGCGGGAAAGGAAAGGATGGTGAGAGAGACAAAAGAACAGACAGAGAGAGAATATATGTGCAAATAGAGAGAAGGAAAGGAGGAATTTGATTGCTGGCTAAGTCTTGGGAAGTGGTTCACTGTGAGAGAAGATGCTATAGATTAGCAGTCTGATAGGTGGGAGAAGAGTGACCAGAGCAATGTCACCGAAAGCAAGAGAGGAGAGCATCTGGAGGGAGGGTTGGGGCAGTGTCAGCGCTCAGTGATGGTGCCAAGAGGTTATGGAGAATGCCACCCAAGAAAAGGAGATGTAGGTCCCTGGTGACCTTGGAGATGGCAGCTTGAGATTGGTGGTGACAAAAGTCAGATGATAAGGGGTTGAGGAATGAATGAGTGAATGAATGGTCATGAACAAATGTAGACTATTCCTTTTAGAAGTTGGGTCAGGGACTATTGGTGGAGTTGTGAACTGCTCCAACCATTCTGGAGAAATAATGATGTCCAAAGGGCTATAAAATTGTGCATATCTTTGGACCCAGGAATACCACTACTAGGTCTGTATCCCAAATAGATTGAAGAAAAGGCAAAAGGACCTATGTGTGCAAAAATATTTACAGTAGCTCTTTTTGTGGTGGCTAAGAATTGGAAACTGAGGGGATGCCCATTAATTGGGGAATGGCTGAACGAGCTGTGGTATCTGATTGTGATGGAATGCTATTGTGCTATAAGAAATGGTGAGGGGGATGGGTTCAGAAAAACCTGGGAAGACTTATATGAACTGATGCAGAGTGAAGTGAGCAGAACCAGGAGAACATTGTACACAGTAACAGCAACATTGTAAGAATAACTAACTGTGAAAGACTTAGCTATTCTGAGTAATACAATGATCCAAGTCAATTTCAAAGGACTCCTGATGAAAAATGCTGTCCATTTCCAGAGAAAGAGGACTGATGGAGTCTGAGTGCAGATTGAAGTACACTTTTAAATTTTATTTTTATTGATTTTTTTTGTGTGTGGTTTTTTGCTTGCTTGTTTGTTTACACCATGACTAATATGGGGGAAGAAAGCAATAAAGAAGGGAGAAAAAAGAAGTTGGATCAGGAAGAATCAGGATGGTAGCTTGAGAGGGGAAGAGAGCCTGGGATCGTGGGATCATAAAATCACAAGATCATTGGATTTGGAAGGGACCACGGAGGTGGTGTAACCCACCCCTTTATTTTACAGATAAGGAACTAAGGGCCAGAGAAGGGAAATGACCAGTCCAGGGTCACACAGGCTTGTGTGCCAGAGCTGGTTTTCAACCCCAGGTTCTAGGAAAGGCTTCATAAGCTAGGGAGACAAGCTCATGTTTGTAAGTACTGGGGAAGGAGATTGTGGAGAGGACGCTAAAGTTTTCAGAGAAGGAAGGTAGTGGTGGACACAGCGAGAGCCTGGCTCTGCCCAGCACTGACTGGCCCCAGAGGCTGTTGACTCCCAGGCCAGGGTTGCTCCTCCTGATTTAGGGTGCTCGAAGAGGAGGAGCCCCTTAGCATGGACCCTGGCTTCCTTCAAGACTCATCTCCAGGCCATTTTTAGCAAGAGGCTATTCTCAGTCGTCCCCCCATCCCCCAGCTCTGGCCCTTTGTACCAGCTGTCCCTCATTCCTGGAATCTTCTCCCTCCTCCACTCCCCCAGGAGCTTCTCTGGTTTTCTTCAGGTCCCAGCTGAGATCCCATTTTCGGTAGACGTTTCCCAGCCCCCCTAACTGCCAGTGTCTTTACCCTGCCACCGCACCCAAGAGGTGCGGGTCCTCATCACCTCACTCCCAGTCCATTCTCCGTTCAAATGATTTTCCTAAAGCATAGGTCTGACCACGTCACCCCCTCACTCACTAAACTCCAATGGCTCCCTATTGCCTCCAGAATCCAATACAAAATCCTCTGTTTGACATTCAAAGCCCTTCATCTTCATAGCCTAGCGCCCTCCTATCTCTCTGGTTTTTTTACGCCTCCCTCTCCACCACGAGCTTTTGTGCAGTGACCCAGCCTCTGTCTCTCAGCTCTGGGTGTTCTCTCATGTCGTCCCCTATGCCTGGAATGTTCTCCTTCCTCATCTCTGCCTCCTGGCTTCCCTGCCTTCCTTTCAGCCTCATCTAAAACCCCCTCGTTTACAGGAAGCCCTCCCCAGCCCCTCTTCAGTCCAATGCCTTCCCTGTTACTCATATCCTATTTATCTTGCACGGAGCTTGTTTCTATGTCTTTGCATGTTATTTCCCCCATTAGATTGAAAGCTCCTTGAGGGCCGGGACTGTCTTTTGCCTCCTTTTGTATCCCCAGCACTTAGCTCAGGGCCTGGCACATAGTAGGTGCTTAATGAATGTTGATCGATTGATGAATGTATCTTATATCTGCCTAGTTACTTACATATTGTCTCCCACGATATGATTAACCCAGGGCCTGGCACATGATAAATGCTTGTCGACTTAACTCATTGGTTCAGTGAAAGGTGTCAGAAGGACCTGGGTTTGAGTTCTGCCTTTCATCCTTCAGTTTCCTCACTTATAATGTGGGGGAGGGGGGGAGGGGAGGGGGGGTTAGACAGGGTGGTTCCTCCACCTCTAGCTTTGTGGTGCTTGTGAATCCAAAGCCTCAGAGGATTCAATCTCTCCCCTCGATGGGCTTCCAGTCTGCTTGGGGATGGGGGAAGATATAGAACAGCACGTCTTCTGATAAATAGATACCCAGATACCTGGCTCTGGTGCATTTTCCCCTGTGCCCTGAGCCCGGCCTTCTCTCTGTAGGTTGGCGCTGTATGTATATGAATATCTGCTTCATGTGGGAGCCCAGAAGTCAGCCCAGACCTTCCTGTCGGAGGTGAGAACCAGCTGGCTGGGGTAGGGCCGCCCACCCTTTCCCTCTTCTTTCCTGCTCTCTTTTCACCTACCCCCACCCCCTTCTCTCCCAGGTTCCTTGGCTCTGTTTTAGCTGAGATGGGGGGGGGGAGGTTTGAAAGGATTCAGGGCCTGAAAGCGCTGAGGGGGCTGTGGGGCTGAGGGCCTGAAAGCTCTGAGGGGGCTGAGATTGCTGGGACTGAATGACTAACCTTCTCTAATTGCTGCTCTTTAGGCCCGTGATTTAGTATTAAGGAACTATGGGGAATGAGGGGGTTTGCAGGGCTGGGGGACCCAAGAAGATGAGAGAGCCAAGATTTCTAAGGTGGGGGGAAGGGAAGAAAGCCAGGTGGGTTTTTTGAGGGGGAAGAATTGGGCAGGGTCTCTCTCTCTCTCTCTCTCTCTCTCTCTCTCTCTCTCTCTCTCTCT